TTTATAAACGAATATAAAACGAAATTCAATTAAAATAGCTTGATTGAACTAAAATGTCAAAATTGTAAATTATTATCGAAACGGGACAGTTTAAGTATCGCACAATAACTCGTAAATACGGAATTGTTTCAATCCGGACCTTTCAAAAAGGCATAGTTCACGGTCCGATAATGTCAGGGGTAAGAAGCTTTATATATTCATTGTGTGTATTTTTCGCTTTCGGTAATTATCGGCAGATGAATCGCGTCGAAAGCTTAGCACCAGTATTACGGTCCGTTCCTCGTACCATGCCTTGTGCTCTTTCACAATATGTTGGGCGATTATTTTTGGCGTGCCTCAGGACCGTACACACGTCAATCCGTTTGATGGATAGGCTGGAAGATCAGAAAAGAGTAGCACCAACTCGAACACGGCTCGGCACGGTAGAGCCGCTTCGCGTGCGACACAGCTGAAAAAATAATCGCATTTGGTGTAATATTTAGCTTATATTTCATACCAATCACGTATTTATTAATACTTCCACGTCGATTCCTGGTTTCCTGGCGCTTTTCCATACTCATTTCAGTTTAATAAATGTGTTTTTATAGCAGAGGAACGTTAAGAATTTATTAATTACCTATCTACTAAAGACGCATCTGTTATCTCATGATAAACAGTTCTCGCAAGGAACTACTTATTGTTCGGATATAAATATCGCGCTTTGACGAAACTAACTTGTTGGCGTGCGACGCGAGATCAACTTCGGCTTTATTAATATGATAGAATGAGAAACAATTGGCTCACGACGCATATACCTCCGCATCGTTTCACATAATTGTCACAATAGTGCCAACTTTATGGTGTACCAGATGCTACTAATCGTTCCAAGTTGGCTACAACGTCTACCATTTGCACCACAACTACCGGTTTTCGATGCCGGTTTAAATCGTTCGAACGCAAAGAGATCAAGGTAAAGGTTAATTACCTCGTTTTCGGCATGAATAACGATTTCTACGATCGCTATACTTCGTAAGAAGTTGAATTAAAAAGACTGATTAAGAATTCATCTTGTCAGATTACAAATCATCGAAATCATGCAAATTAGATCTTAAAAAATGGTCGTAAATTCTTTCCTGTTATTTATTTTAATTTTTAATGAGATAATTTAACTTTGTAATACATATTAAAGCATATTGCAATGAATTTTATTTTATGGTTTATATTATTTGTATCTCACAATGCTTCGCTTTTATATTAATCCTTGATTTCGAAGGTTGGGACTGCAGCTTCGCGAAATGAGCGGCTTCCTGTCTTTCTTAATCCGTCAATTTTTTTGCAAAAGCATGTTGAAAATAATAATGACGCTGATGATCAAATAATTATCCCCCCAAAATTATTTCTCATGCTTCACCATTATCTGCAGACCAGATAACAATGATGAATCGGAGAGATTACTCGTCGAGTTTCGTGTTTCTCTAACTCTGCTCCAAGGTCCCTTGCGATATCCGCGAGTCGCAAGAGGCGTTTAGCACCGCACGATTTCGTTTGTTAGCATGATTCTCGTCAAGGTATGCATTCGCAAATTTTTTCGAATGCTGGCAGAATGAAGGAGACTGCAGAGAGATTATTTCCCGATGAACCGGTTATGCTTAACAAATAGAATATCATAAATAATGGAAAACAATAAACTTTTTATCCGATTTTGCTACAACTTATGAGTAAGCGGAGTTTTGCTTCGCTAGAAAGTTATTCGCGGAACAATAAACTTATCAGCGGCTGAGTATAAAGTGTTTCTGTTTCAAAAGATACTGATTCAAAGCAAACGTATCTAGATAACAGGTTGAACTTGCATGGTTCAAGGTGCGATTTTTAAATACCTGATGAAAGATTAAATGTTCTTTATCGCGAGTAAGTTGTCAAATTAAATTGGCTGTTTCGGTCGTAAAATAAATATTGATTAATATTATAACCTCAATTAATGTTATTCAATCAATCTGCAATTTTTGTTGAGGCGATTTTCCTTTATCCTTAGCTAAAGATTTGAACTGACGAAGCTGATCGCTCGTGGCCTGGCGTGGCCCCCAAGCGAGTACCGCTCTTCTGGCAACCCGCCAAAACTTATGCCAGGTTTCAACATACCGGCCGACATGAGTATTTTTGGTTTTGCGGCGAAACGACGACGGTTTCTCTCTTTTCCCGCGTCTCTCTATTCGTTTTCCCCTCGATATGCTTCCTCGAAGGAAAACGAAGAAACAATCTGCACCATCAGATCGGCAAGCGAGCGGATGTTGTCGTCGGCGAACAACTTCAGCGATTTGTACCCAACAGTTTTCAACGGCGCAAGAGATTTGTTTACTATTTTTATCTTTCTACGTGGCGACGAAAATTGAAGTGAAAGAAAAATTTTGAAATATCTTGCTTTATCTGTCAGTCATTTCGAAACACGAATATAAATGTATAATCAGTGTTTAGCACGATGAATGTAACGACGTATGATTAGTCTCGCGATTGAAGTTTTCATCACGCTAAACAAGTTACTTATGGCCGGTTTATGCTTCGGTCTTAATCTTAATCTTAAGAGTTGATAACGTAGAATGCCATAAGGGCGTTTATACTTCCCTAGTCTTAATCTTAGTCTTAATCTTTATCTTGGAAAGATCCCATCTTTTAACTTTAGTCCCTAATGTCCTAAGGCCGGGCCAATGAGGTAAGTCTGACGTCCGACGCAGCACGAAACCGCGCAAAATAATGGTTTTCGATCCGTGTATATTTAAAAAATTGTTCCTGATCGTATTCAATATTCAGCATATCTTTCATTAAAGAAAAGAAATGACCAGTTTCGTGTCTTTTTCGATTCAGTGGCCGAACAGCGTATCTCCGTGGTTTTCTTTTATTTTTTAATTTCTTAATAATACACATGCTGCATAGGCACTTAATAACAAAGGTGCCATTCCAAACATTAAAGTTTTTGCCGCTGGCGATTCATTTTAACATTCACTATAATTTGCAGCACCGGGATCTATTACAATTTGTGGTTAGGTTAGGTTAGGTTTTGTTACATTTGCACATGCGTAGTCCGAATTTCCAGGGAAGCATAAACGAGTCCTTAAGATTAAGTTAAGACTAAGACTAAGATTAAGATTAAGACCGAAGCATAAACCAGCCATTAATCATTATAGTAGTGACGATAAATAGTACATAATCGTTTATTTATATCTCATTTTTCAAGAGATTACTTCGGGCAAGGAGTTTCCGTTGCATTCGCAAACATAGCTTGTAAAAGGGCTCATATAACAGCAATAATTTAATGTCATCATCTGTCAAGAGTAATAAAAATAGTTAATGTAAAATATATTCAGTGCTTCTCATCGACAGGCGATTATTATTTATATTAATGTGTAAAATTATTTATTTTTTATCTTCAAAAAAATTATTCTGTATTTATTATCGTCTGTTCGTAAGTTAATCAAGCAGTTAAAAATATGTAAAGAAGAATATATTTATAAAAATCGCATAAATTTTGAAAAACGCGAAGCCTTAATATCTTTCCAAATATGACGTCGCACTGGAATCGAGATAAAGATATAGTAAGTTAGAAATAAATTTCAGATTGTTTTATCGAATTAATTATTCCGATATTTGATATAAATAGAATTCACATAAATAGAATTTATAAAAGGCCATTTCTTAAGATCTTTGAATGAATTTCACTGTCCTTTGAGCAAAATACACTTATGATAAATCGATTTAAAATTTATCTAATCTTCGCTTTTGTACATCTAAAATTTTTGGCCGTGTTTAATTAGATTTAAAATTGTTGTTAAAATATTGGAAAATAATTTTGTGCAGAGCTGTTTTATCGTACTCAAATCGACGGTGTCAAAACAATTCCGGAAAAGAAAGATTAACTGGAAATTCGTTGAAAAATCCTCTCTTTAAATATCAGCCGCGCGTTCTGAGATGTAATCTGCCTACGCGTTGGATACACACGCACTTATCATTCACAGCTGGCAAGGCAAAACACCGCGACCTGCTGCGGTGACTTGTGTCTAGTCTAGAGTTGCTAGGCGAAATAGTCACGCGGTGCGCGCGTACATGCGTGTGCAGACCGTCATTAGCGCGACTATCATTAGCCGGCAAGGCCGTGTTCAGTGCTGTCTATGGATCCTACGAAACCCCTGCGCTCGTCGCGCTTATTTCTCAGGAAGCTCGAGTTTCACAGTGTGATTAGTAGCGACTTATTTCACGATCGCAATGTTATTCTATTTGCAATGTTACGTTATGAAAAATTATGAATGAATACATATGTGTGGAAAAATGGTTGTAATAATCAATACGTCATACACAAGAGACTAGAGTAAAAATATGAATATATAAATACACGAAATATCAAAATTTGTATATAAATTTAACAGGACTGACTTTTTGCAGGTATTACAATATAAATTTTTTCTATCTATATAAATTCAGATGATGTCTCTATAGAAATATACTTTGTGCACGGGAATTCAAGTTGAGAGACGAGCGAATAATTTGTTCATTAATTTGCTGTACGCGCAAAATATTTCTTTTTTTTCTTTCTTCGGCAAAATCATATTTTCGTGATTTTTAGACGTCATCGGACATATTTAAAGTTTGAGAATTTTGTAAACACTGCTCGTCCGAATGTTCAGATATGGAAGTTCCGCTTTTGTGCGAATCCCCGTCTTTAGAAACGTTTTCCTTCAGCTCCGAAACCGTCGCCACCATTTCCATCTCGCCGGGATCAGCGCGCGTTCTAACTCTTTCTTTTCCGCGTGTTCCTCCTCTTCTTCTCCTTCTTCTTCCTCTAGTTTGTCTTCTTCCTCGACGTCTTTGAGATCTACGCCTCCTCGTTCTACCGCGTGTTCTGCCGCGTGTTCTGCCGCGTCTTCGTCTTCCTCGAGAACGTCCTTTTCTGCGGCTGCGTTCGCGTCCCTCACTCCGGCGTCGCTCACGCTGGGCTCGCTGACGCCGGCGTTTCGCAAGTCGGCGTTTCCTCACGCCGAATCTCCATGGTTGGCTTGGACATGGTTCCATCACCCCGTCACCTGTTCCATCCCCCAACGATAACCACCCGAGGTAGTCGCGGTTGTACGAATACCCTCTGGAAATGCCAGTCAAATGTTTCAATATAACAATAATCACACTATTTTGTATAAAATTGTGATAAATTATTGCGTGTCAGGAAGTTTTGTTGCGAAAAAACCTATAGCGTAGTATTGAGCAATAATTTTGATACTTAGTACAATAGTACAATAGAATTCTTTTTTTACACAAATATGCATAATTATCGAGCATTTAAAAGTCAAATTCAAAACCTTTTTAACTTATGCTACATTACGTTGCACCAACAAAGTATGACACAACAGTTATTTGATCAAGTGAGAACACTGTGTGTGATGCGATCAAAATATTTTTTTTACGAAGTGGGTCACGTATCGCCTTTACAATCATGATTTAATCTATTACGCTTTATTTATGACCTAGCGGAATTATCATTGGCATTGATAAGCGAGTTTTTCGTAATACCAAAAAGAAATGGAAAAAAATAACATCGTAAATATGTCCAATGTATTGCGCGATACCAAAATAAACGGTTGAAATAAAATTTTAGCGCGACTAATTCGATCGAATGTTTATGAGACGCTTACGAAATGCGGTATAATTTAGTGCGGCTAGCAAACGTTACTCCAGAAATAAAATCCTATTAGTAGAATTAATTGAGTTATTGATAATTAACGGGAACGTCGAGTCGAATTCGTACCCCTTCGACCGCTGAAGGATCCCATAGGATAAGCCGTGTTGTAGAGCGAGTTGAACCTGCCGTCTGATCTCCTTGCCAGGAAAGTCGTACTCCTGGGAAATATAGTTACTAATTTCCCGCGACGTCGAGCCTTGTACATCCTGCAGTTTACGTATAGCATTCACAACCAGTGCTTCGACTTTTGGAGTCCGTCTGGCAGGCATGTCTAATGATTTTGTACAGCACATATATATTGTCTTTATTCTGATGATTTTCTAATGATGCTATTATTTATATTTTATGACTGTTGATCTTTAAAAACATGTGCGATTGATGAGAAAGTATATTATTCGCGAGCCAATTTTATTGAAAGATTTAAAAATCGCAACTTTGAGGATCTGGGAAGATCTAAGGATCGCTAAGTAAAAATATAATAAAATATTTTAGAGTATTTATCTTGACATAAAGAGAGATATCTACCTGCGTTGCATAGAATGTGGCAGGATGTATTTAATTATATTTCCTTTCTTAGAATACGTCTCGCAAGCCATTAGATATAAAAGTCACATGAGAAAATGATTAATAACCGTGAATCATTTTAAACTTCTTAAATTTTTCTTATTAATTGAATTTTTCTTCTTAAATTCAGCACACGAAATTTCCATTGATTTTAATAAAACGGTATCCAAGGAAATGATCGTCATTTTTATGATCATAATGTCGTTGTTTTCTCGATTATTTGAAAATATCGAAATCATTATAGCTACAAATTGCAAAATACAATTAATGAGTCATAATTATTATCGCGATTATTATGTATTGTGATAAATATTAATTCTTCGCATAAAACATTCTGACATGTTATGTCATAGACAAATATATTTTGGCTTTTATTAAAATAAACGAGCGAGTTTGACATTATTTCTTAATTGCTATACACTCCACCGGTTTCCCTTGAACTTCGTTCTTGCCTATCTAGCACGACTTGTAATCGGACTTACAATCAAAGTACGACGATGAATCTCTTCGTCGAGATGAATAAATTGCGATTGAATGAGACATCTGTTTAATTCTCAATATTGCGAGTATGTTAGTACTGTTAGTTCTGCACTTAAATCATTAATTAAATAAACAATTTATAAACGGCAACAATTCTCTAAAATAAATTATAAATCTCACATTTGGATAAAAAGAAATTACTGTGAATAATTAACTATGTAACTCTAGCTATTTTATATTTTCGACTGTTGTATATTATTCTTTTCTCGAACAATTCAGAATTATTCAGTTATCAGATCTCTGAAAGAAATTTTGAACATAATGGATTGTATTTCTTGATTATATCTTTTAACGGTTTAATTTATTATCTGATACAGAGATATTTACAAAAATATTTAAGAATAATCGCATTTAACAACATAAAGTCACTATTTTTTGAAGAGAGAAAATGCTTCATAAATCAAAATGTTTACTTGTAGTAAATTTTTTTGTTTTTTCTTTTCCCTCTTCCCTTTCGTTCTTTTTCTGTTGCTATATCGAAATAAAACGACACAAAATGGCACCAGAGAAGCATGTCAGACTTTTGTGCCGTGACAGCTCGGAACTCTTTTCTTATATCTTTGTAAATATAGTGTACTTCCGGCTGTTTGAATTTTCTGATCATGATGAGACCGTACTAGCTGCATTGTCACTTGGATGCAAGGTGTATCGAAATCGATTATTAATACACTGTACTTTCGTTTGTAGCGCATTAAGCAGCAATTAAATCGCAATTAAGCCGTATCATAGAATACATAAGAATACATAAGAATACATAAGCTATTCAGTATTCTGCACATTCTATAATTGGTGCGCGTATGTTTAAATTACTGATCGATTCTCTTGCGTGGTGTAGTGTGATAACGAAAACTACACTTCTTATCACGGAAATCGGTACGACTTATCATCTTATCGATGGTGTTACAGTTATAAAGACGGGTGATACGCTTTATTATATTTATTTATATTTGTTGCAAATATGATCGAGTTAAGGATGATCGACTGATTTTTTAAGTATTCTCAGCAAGATTAACGCTGAATGATTTATCGTTATATGTCATTAAAAAAAAAGATAGATATACGTCGTTTGAAATACGTGTCTTACTAATGTTTATACTGTTATTTATACAATATTCCTCAGCTTACTGCATTTTTTTCATTTATAGATTTTTTTGATAAATAAGAAAACAACTTTATCGTTGGCAAAAACTTGCCAAACAGAATAATTTTTAGTTATTTCTCTCAATATTAGGCGATAAACTTTTAAATCAAAATCTTATTTTACTAAAAAAATTTTATTATTTAATTTTATAATTTTCTAAAATTTCTATTTTAATTAATTTTATAATTTTTTATTGCAATTTGTTTATGCCTAAGATTAAAAAAAAAATATATAATAAATTTATTTTAAAAATGCATATATGCAGAAAGAAAGTGCAAAAAAGTTGAGTATTTTGTGTATATATATTTCCTGAATAATTCTGCAATTTTATAAGCAATAAATATAAAAATCAAATTTAATTCGAAGAAGATTCTTCGATGAATGCTGTTAGTGTACGTCCTGCAGAGCGCAGCACGAATCACGCTTTAGACTCTGCTGGCATCTGGTACCGTTCCAAGGAAAGCGGTTTCGCCGAAAGTCCGTCATTGATATCATGCACACGATAACGCAGAAACCATCAATATCTGAATCTGATAGCTTCATTTTTGCAACTATTCTTTGAGCTTCCATCGATAATAATAATTAAATGCCTCTATACATGCATTTTTTTAATGTTAACTAGAAATTGTTAACAAAAAAATGCAAAAATCACGATAATTGTTTTCTTCAGCACACTTCGAAGTGTGGATAGAAAAAAAAAATATCTGGAAATTATTTATAAATTTCCACGGAACGATATATGTGTTCGAAGCAATTCACCTGTGTATGCAAGGGCACCGGACATGCAGATCGCACACATAAGCGTTGCAGATCGTTGATGCGCCGTGTGCCGCGCGTTTGTCACACGCGACACACATAGACATTGCAAATGATGATTACTGCCGGTGTATCAATGTGATGTGCTCAATAGCAATAGAAACTAGCTTCGATAAAATTGCTTTCAAAATAGAATTCTTCTTGTGCCATTTACGTTTGCAATTTAAAAAAAAAAACAATTTATTTAAATTTATTCACACCTTAAATAGCGAATGCGCATGTGATAAATTATTGAAAAATAATGTAGTAAATTTTTATGCTCGAGTAATATTATTCAATGTTACCGCAATGTAAATGTTATGCAGTTAGAAAAAAAATGGGTCCTCCAAAATAAGCGACAGAGTTTTGATACAAAGTAAAAAAAAATAATTTTACCATGACACGGCATACACGTATGTTCGCGTTATTAATGTGCGTCCATTGTTAGCATTTTCGACCTTGCAGCACGCGAGAATGTGCACAGGGAACAATCGGGACGGTCAAGGAGAACTTACTGAATAATCAGCTTTGCGGGGGAAAATGATTGCGTCGCCTATGAATGAAAAGAAGGAAGCCATGAATTTCTGATTATCGTGCACTATGTAAACACCGTTTCGGAGCCGAGATCACGAATAACATTCTGCCGTTCGTGGACAGGCAAACATCTTTACCATAATTGTACCGTCACTTCCTGACGGTTGGAAGGATTTCTGTGATGAGACAGTAACGACCATGGACCAGAGTACCCAGAGAGAGAGAGAGAGAGAAAAAAGATTTCTGGAGTTATCATGCGAAGCGAGATGTTTTTTTTATCGTTAAAATGTCCGGATGTGTGTGTTCCATTAAAAATATTACATTAAATTTTATGAAAACCAACGACTACATATAGGAGAAAATTTTTGAACAACATTAATAAATGTTATAAGGATATAAAAGCGTATTGTTTGCAACGATTACAGCAAAGGATTGCACGTATACTTTCTCTCTTTACAGAAACTCAAAAAATTTCCGGGTACATGCCCCGCGCGAGATTATTAATACCAGCGAGGAGGGTACGCGAGGATTCGGAGCGTAATCATCGTGCGCCTCTTACGAGGTTATTATTGCTGTAAGGATGAATCTGTAATATCGAGGCGAGCCGGCTTGGCGCGGCCGAGCGAAAGTGCCTCGGCCGCATAAATGTCGGGCCGACTCCGGCCGGGAACCGAGAAGGTGGCTTAACGAATGTGGAGAGATCGGTGAACCGGAAGCGAAAGGCGCGCGCAGCTTCACGATTCGTTTGGTACGACGTACATACATAAGATCGTCAGTCTCCCTGCCTTTAACGCTTCGCGGAACTAGAAATCTGTTTTTCACGCTCAAACCGCGCGAACTTCGTTCACGCGTTTCTGTACAGCCACGTGCGAGTGAAAATTTTCTTTCTTATTGCACGTCACTTAGATTAACCGCAAAGTGGACTAGAGATATCTGCACGTAGACAAATTGCGAAGACTTAACCGAGGATATTAAAATACTTTTTTTTTTTCAAATGTGGTAAATTTTATGTTAGATATTATCAATCATAATTAAAATTAATTTTGATAATTATATTTATCATGATTTTTTTCTTCGTTTATGACGATTATTATATATTTCCTCTTTTCGCGTGGGATTGTTTGATAAATGCGCACTGAATTGGATCGATCTTGTCGGTGGAGCATATTTATCACGTTTACATTCATCGTGAGAAATAATTGTTTCCACGTGTCGATTAAAAGCTAATTGCCACGTTACGCTGCGGTGTAACGCGACCTTCGGCGCTGTCGAGCCGGACACGGATATTTCTAGATGTGCGTCCGCTAAAACTGCCGCTCAGACTCGTACTTTCGCGCGCACTCAATGCGCGCACAATGCAATTTTCGCGACGGAATCTATTTAAGATTGATATCTTGGACGTTTTGCTGCTTACGATGAGGCGAGAACTCGAACGGAGGGGAAACAATCCTGCTTCTTGAAAATTGAAAATTATGGAAATTATAAATGGAACGTGACTTTCAAGTCTTTGAAATACGCCGGGATGCGACACGGATTCGCTATCGGAAACGGGTGCCCACGTGCGCTTTTATTCGATGCAGCGCGACTCACGTGGCACAACACGTGAGCAGACGGCTATCACCATCGGGGAGTTCTCGCTGAGGGTGGCTTCGCGAGCGGCGCGCCAAGGTAGGGGTTGTTAAATGCGAAGCAAAC